AATCTCCAAAGAGCACAGTGTCATCAGCAAAGAGCAACTGTGACAACTCCCACTTTATGTGTGATTCTTTATCTTTTAACTCCACGCCTCTTGCCAAGACCCTCGCATTTACTTCTCTTACAACCCCATCTATAAACATATTAAACAACCATGGTGACATCACACATCCTTGTCTAAGGCCTACTTTTACTGGGAAATAATTTCCCTCTTTCCTACGTACTCTAACTTGAGCCTCACTATCCTCGTAAAAACTCTTCACTGCTTTCAGTAACCTACCTCCTACACCATACACCTGCAACATCCGCCACATTGCCTCCTATCCACCATGTCATACGCATTTTCCAAATCCATGAATGCCACAAGACCACAAATGCCTCCTCTTTTAGTTTATAAACCTTCACCTCTCTCTTCCCTGATGCTTCTATTCTCCTTGTATCCCATCTACCTTTTACTCTCAGTGTAGCTACAACTAAAAAGTGATCTGATATATCTGTGGCCCCTCTATAAACATGTACATCCTGAAGTCTACTCAACAGTCTTTTATCTACCAATACATAATCCAACAAACTACTGTCATTTCGCCCTACATCATATCTTGTATATTTATTTATCCACTTTTTCTTAAAATATGTATTACCTATAACTAAACCCCTTTCTATACAACGTTCAATCAAAGGGCTCCCATTATCATTTACACCTGGCACCCCAAACTTACCTACCACACCCTCTCTAAAAGTTTCTCCTACTTTAGCATTCAGGTCCCCTACCACAATTACTCTCTCACTTGGTTCAAAGGCTCCTATACATTCACTTAACATTCCAAAATCTCTCTCTTCCTCTACATTCCTCTCTTCTCCAGGTGCATACATGCTTATTATGACCCACTTTTCACATCCAACCTTTACTTTAATCCACATAATTCTTGAATTTACACATTTCATATTCTCTTTTCTCCTTCCATAACTGATCATTCAACATTACTGCTACCCCTTCCTTTGCTTTAACTCTCTCAGATACTCCAGATTTAATCCCATTTATTTCCCCCCACCGAAACTCCCCTACCCCCTTCAGCTTCGCTTCGCTTAGAGCCAGGACATCCAACTTCTTTTCATTCATAACATCAGCAATCATCTGTTTCTTGTCATCCGCACTACATCCACGCACATTCAAGTATCCCAGTTTTATAAAGTTTTTCTTCTTCTCTTTTTTAGTAAATGTCTACAGGAGAAGGGGTTACTAAGCCCATTGCTCCCGGCATTTAGTCACCTCATACGACACGCATGGCTTACGGAGGAGAGATTCTTTTCCACTTCCCCATGGACAATAGAAGAAATAAAGAAGAACAAGAGCTATTTAGAAAAAGGAGAAAAACCTAGATGTATGTATATATATATATATGCATGTGCGTGTCTGTGAAGTGTGACCCAAGTGTAAGTAGGAGTAGCAAGATATCCCTGTTATCTAGCGTGTTTATGAAACAGAAAAAGAAACCAGCAATCCTACCATCATGCAAAACAGTTACAGGTTTCTGTTTCATAGTCATCTGGCAGGACGGTAGTACTTCCCTGGGTGGTTGCTGTCTACCAACCTACTACTGAGGTACACACATAAGTTACCTTAAAATATTTTCATCATTGGCCTATAGTGAGTGAATAGTTATTGTAGGACGTCTGATTAATGAAGAATGGCTAGAATTGAAAACCACTGCAACAGCAAAACGCTGTAAACGAAACACCGTAAAGCGGGGCCCGCTCATTCCTTCAGCTACTCACCCTCGGGTAATTTCAAGTTTTAGTTGTAATGGTCTGAAAGCCACTGCTTGAGCATTTCTTTTCCCCAAGAAAATGCCTTTGTAAAACAACAGATTGGAAAATTACAATTTGAATTTAATTTTTCACATATGTATATTATAAGAAATATTACACTAAATACACGAGAGAAATGAGACAATGTAGAACAGTATGCAAAACACACACACACACACACACAAGGGCCAGGAGCTATGACTCAACCCCTGAAACCACAAATAGGTGAGTATACACACACACAACACTTTTGTACCATCACAAGGAACTCGTCAAAAAAACAGAAATCAAAGGGGGTGGTAAACCATGCATATTGAGAAGCAATTTGAGAAAATAGAAAGACCCTGAAAGTGGTTGTGGATGTTGTTGCCAACATGTGACTGCGAAAGATTAGCTTTGAAAACCCAGGTGGTAAAGTGATGCAAATAAGTAGATCGTAGGCAACTCAAGCAAGCACAAAAACCTGCTGACTACACTAGGGTCATTGCTGTTACAAGTAATAAAGTTGGTAGAATTACCGACAATATGTAAAGTAAAAGGACACAAGTGCAACTAATGTGACATTTTATTGTGGCAACGTTTCGCTCTCCAGGAGCTTTATTAAGCCTTGATAAAGCTCCTGGAGAGCGAAACGTTGCCACAATAAAATGTCACATTAGTTGCACTTGTGTCCTTTTACTTTACATATTGTTACAAGTAAACAATTCACCACCAGACAGGATCCCCTCATCTCTAAAATAAGGATAACATTAAACTCCCACGTGGATACGTATAAAGAAATGTGCACGAGGTACACATATACAAGTGTACGTAACTTTAGGTGATGTAAATTTAACCCAACACTGCTATGTAAGGAGATTGAATACAGGTGCTCCTCAACTCACAATGGGGTTATGTTCTGATGAACCTACTGTAAGTTGAAAATGAATATGTGCTAAGTAAATAAATACCGTACTTTGTGGCTTATTAGACGCATTTTTTCCATAAAATGTCTCCAAAAACCATCCTACGTCCTATAAACTGACGGTCAGTGATGGGAGCTATAAGTTTGGGGTGCGGGGGTGGGCTGTGGCTCTCCCAGTTACATCCAATGCCGAGCCACTGAAACTAAAACAAGTCTTATAAGCTGCGAAATATGGTAAATAAATAACTACTATCGCTGAACAAGTAAACAAATAATTATTGTAACTAACTAAATACCAGTATCGAAAATTAAAAAAAAAAAAAAAAGTATACAAGTTATGGACTTGCCACCTTCATGCTGGGTAATTATCTAGTTTCATCTCCAAAGTAATTGATGCTGCACCATCATGGAGTCGAGATATCATAAGTCGAACCATCATAAGTCTAGGAGCACCTGTATAGTTTAAGGACACACGAGGGCTATGCTCAGTTTAAGCATGCAATCTAGTATAAATAGCAGCAGAGCTAAATACTATAACCATATTAAATGTCTTGCAATAAACAAAACATTCTGTTTTTACTAGCGAATCTCGGGAAAAATCTACAAAAAACACCCTTATGATGCAGACTTTAAATTTCTTGAAACTGCCTCAGCTATGTAGATCTTCTTCAGAGGCAGCAACATAAAAAAATACTCAGTGCAACAGCTTGTCAGGATCAATTTCTTCAAATGGCATCGCTGAAAATCTTAGTCTAAAAAAAGGCTCACTGGGTCAAAACTACGCTAGTTTAACAACACAAGCTGAAAACTTAAAATTCCAGGAAGATGGGAATCTCTTAAAAATATAAAGCACTACTGTGGTTGCCAACCTACTAACATGGTACTGTTTCATCTCTGCTCAAAAAGGCAGAAGTACGATGGAAAAAATTACTTGAGAAATCGCAATCCTCTAAAGCCTTTTTCTTCAAGAGTGCTACTTCGGGCTATGTACTGAGAACTGCTGTTAAGTACAGTACTACTTACAAAGCTATGCCCAAGATAGGCCAATTTATCTTTCAGCATAAACATGACAGTTTACTTGAGACGACAAAAAATAGGCCCGGCAGTTGCTCAGTTCCGTCTCTCTTGCTTCTGAAGAGCCAATTTCACTCCGGTCCTCTCCCGATTGACTTGACCTTAATGCCAAAGCGCCCAAGGGTGGCGTGTAGGGCAAGGCTCTCTGCTGCACGGCAGCACTCCTAGGTCCTGTACCATGTGCTGTGCTGCATGCAGTGTTACTGCAGTCTCCCTCTAGGGTTTTCTCTAAATACTTTCTTCAATGCTTGTCCTGTCTGGCAAATGAAGAAAGGTGACCATGGAGAAAAGCAATAAACCAGGTATAAAATGTGGCAGAATTTAAGAAAAAAGAATAACATTTCATAGTAAGAAGGAAAATTAGAAGAGGATAGATGTAGAGAGGGATGAAAGAGGTGAAAAGAACAAGAACCAGAAGAAAATTGAAGAGAAATGAGAAAAAATTAGAGAGAAAAAGAAATTACAAATATGAAGAGTGCTGGCACCCCTGATCTATTCAAAGACAAAACTGGGTTAATGGTGTTACTTGTGCACTTTGCAAAGTCAAATTCAGATTAGAGCTGTTACTTCAGTAATATAAAGAACAAAATAAAGGCATTAAACAAGTGTTACAACAATATCAAAACTGTTAAGACATGATTGTATAAACTACGAATTCACTTGCAGCTAAAAATGCACTTATACATATATACAGTACTTACCCTCGAAACCATTAGAGGCACTGCAGGGGTGTAACACATGTTAAAAAATACGAACAAATGCAAAAACAAAATGTGCGGTATTATATCTTGAGTAAACATTTTTTGTCATAGCTTCTGTAGCCCTATATGGGTGTAGGAGTATCAAGTCCTTGCATATAAATACAACCTCTCCTCACTTAACCCTTTCAGGGTTTCTGACGTACTAGTACGGCTTACGCACCAGGGTTATTGACGTACTAGTACACCTAAATTCTAGCGCCTTCAAATCTAGCAAGAGAAAGCTAGTAGGCCTTCATATGAAAGAATGGGTCTATGTGGTCAGTGTGCACAGTATAAAAAAATCCTGCAGCACACAGTGCATAATGAGAAAAGAAAAAACTATGACCGTATTTCTGGTTTAAAACAGCAACTTTGCACTGTATTTTCGTATGGTATTTATTGTTGTATTTTAGTTTTCCTGGTCTCATTTTATAGAATGGAAGACATATTATAGAAATTGAGATGATTTTGACTGGTTTCACAATGAAAAGTTCCTTGAAATTGAGCTCAAAGTAGTAGAAATCTTCAATTTTTGCAAAAGTTCAAAAGTAAACAAATCATGCTACTCGTCCAATACATGTCAACTGGTGAGTTTAATATTCTTTCACGTGTGATGATATTATTTATACCATTTCTACACTAATACAGTAGTCTGCATAACAGTAAATCTTCTATTTTTTGTGAGAATAAAAATTCAAAGTGGAAAGCAAAAGAATTTAAGAGAGGCCTGGGGACGTGACTAATGAACAGAAGAAATGTTATTTTAGTACCAGAAATTGGCATCTTTTGAAATTGTGTGAAATTGGCAAAATTGCTAATTTCTGACCACTTTATTGGATAGTTGAAGTCGGTAAATGGGTGGTTTCTTGTACTCATTCGATAGAAAGAAATGGGGTTCTAGCGAAATAGTTATGATTTTTGTCAACTAGTACACTGGAATTGGCCAAAAATAGGGCTCAAAGTGGGCAAAATCGCCGATGCGTAAACATTGTTGAGACCGCTAACTTCGCAAGAGCATAATTCCATAAGTTTTCCATCAAATTTCATACTTTTGGTGTCATTATGATAGGGAAAAGATTCTCTATCTTTTCGTGAGAAAAAATAATTAATTTTTTTTTTTTGAAAAATTTTTGAACATGAGAACAAGTTTAGGAGAGGGCCTCTCGACCCTGAAAGGGCTAATGACGGAGTTCTTTTCCTAAGACCACATCGGTAAATGATTTCGTCGCTAAGCGAGGATCATACTATAATGGTAGTGGGTTTGTGTCAACCATCTTTGATATTGTTTTAATGTCACTTTTGCACTATTTATAACATTTTTAGTATATTTTTAAATGTTTACACCGTAGTGTACTGTATATTGTAATAAACAGAAAAGACGAAATCAGCTGTAATATACATTATTTAGGTATGAATACTGGTCAGAGAGCCCGTCTTAAGTCTGAGTCGTCGGTAAACGAGTAATTCTGCCAGTTTGGTAAGACTTTCTAGGGAAACTAGGAAAGAGAGAAGAGAGAGAGATAGGAAGAGAGGAGAGAAGAAAGAGAGAGAGGGGAGAGGAGAGAGAAGAGAGAGGGGGAGAGAAGAGAGAGGGGGGAGAGAAGAGAGAGGGGGGAGAGAAGAGAGAGGGGGAGAGAAGAGAGAGGGGGAGAGAAAGAGAGAGGGGGGAGAGAAGAGAGAGGGGGTAGAGAAGAGAGAGGGGGGAGAAGAAAAGAGGGGGGAGAGAAGAGATAGAGGGGAGAGAAGAGAGAGAGGGGAGAGAAGAGAGAGAGGGGAGAGGAGAGAGAGAGAGAGGGGAGAGAAGAGAGAGAGAGAGGGAGAGGAGAGAGAGAGAGAGAGGGGAGAGGAGAGAGAGAGAGAGAGGGGAGAGAAGAGAGAGAGGGGAGAGGAGAGAGAGAGAGGAGAGGGGAGAGGAGAGAGAGAGAGAGGGGAGAGAAGAGAGAGAGAGAGGGGAGAGGGAAAAGAGAGAGAGAGGGGAGAGAAGAGAGAGAGAGAGGGGAGAGAAGAGAGAGAGAGAGGGGAGAGAAGAGAGAGAGGAGAGAGAAGAGAGAGAGAGAGGGAGAGAGAAGAGAGAGAGGGGAGAGAAGAGAGGAGAGAGGAAAGAGAGGGGAGAGAGAAAAGGGAGAGAAGAGAGAGAGAGGGAGAGAAGAGAGAGGGGAGAAAAGGGAGAGAGGGGAGAGAGAGGGGGAGAGAGAGGGGAGAGAGAGAGAGGGGAGAGAGAGAGAGAGAGGGGAGAGAGAGAGGGGAGAGGAGAGAGGGGAGAGGGGAGGGGAGGGGGAGAGAGAGAGAGGGGGAGAGAGAGAGGGAGAGAGAGAGAGAGGAGAGAGAGAGAGAGGGGAGAGAGAGAGAGAGGGAGGAGAGAGAGAGAGGTGGGGGAGAGAGAGAGAGGGGAGGAGAGGAGAGGGGAGAGAGAGAGAGGGGGAAAGAGGCAAATGTAGTCCCTGTTCACAAAAAGAAGAGCAGATCAGAAATCAGCAACTACAGACCAGTGTCACTCCTGTCAATCACTGGTAAGATCCTTGAGACAATAATCTCAAGCCCAAATGACAGAGTTTTTTGACTACCACTCACTACTTTGTGATCGTCAATATGGCTTCAGGAAAGGTTACTCTGCTGCTGATCTGTTGTTAAACCTCTCCACTAAGTGGCACCAGTCACTGGATGAATCCAAAGTCAGCTGTGTGGTAGCACTGGACATTGATGGCACTTTCGACCGGGTGTGGCACCAGGGCCTCTTAGCAAAACTTCAAGCACTGGGAATTGCAGGCTCTACGCTATGTCTCCTCAGTGATTACCTTCATGGTAGATATCTAAGTGTAGTTCTCAATGGAACGGAATCAGCAAGACATCCTATTGGGGCAAGTGTTCCACAAGGAAGCGTGCTGGGTCCATTGTTATGGAATGTCTACTTCAATGACCTTCTTCATCTCATCCCAGAATCACATGCATATGCAGACGACTGTACACTGACATTCACTTATCCAAGAGAAGAAAAGCCAGCTGCTCTAAGCTACTCAAACCCAGCGAGAGCTATATCCCCTTTTTGGGGGAAAAGAAGGCAAAATAACATTTGCACCCGAGAAAACGCAAATGTGATCGTTCTAGGCACCACGATGGTAATGCGGTGCAGTAATAAGGATGAATTGGGGGTGTTGGCCCCCTTTAGAAAATTATATCCTTGGGGTAAATTTTTACTCCAAAATAAAACCCTGAAGAACCATGTTTTAAAACTTGCAAACAAGGCAAACCCGGAAAACTTACAGCACTTTTGCCGTATCCGCATCTGCTTGACAGTAGGGGTTGCAAGATCCTGTACGAGGCACAAGTACGCTCACACCTTGAGTATGCCCCCACTTTCTTGGTTTGCCTGCCCCCCCCCCCATCTGCAACGCTTGACAGAGTAGAGAACAGAGCAAGACGTTTCATCTCTCGCCTGGACCCATCCGGATAGATCTGTCATTTCAGCAGAGCCTTCAACATAGGGGGATGGGGTGGCCTTACGTTATGTAAAAGGGCCCAAAATATTGTCAAAATACCACACTTTGATCCACTTCGAGGACAGCGTGAAACAAGTTTTTATGCCACAAGACGGGCAGAAAGCAGCAACTTCACTCTGGCTGTACCCTTCTCCAGAACATCACTCCATCTGAGATCATACATACCCAGGATGACTCTAGTATGGAACACATTCGTACAGGATAATGATGTCAACGAGATAAAGTCAGTTGATCAAATGAAAATGCTGGCCCACAGATGGCTCCAACTTCATCCTGTTTCCTACTTGTATGTCTCATAACAATAAAAATGCTCTCAAATGAGCTGATGTAGGTAACAGCTCTTAGCTGGTCTGGTACAGACACCATATTACAGCTACAAATTTTTGCTGTACCACATACCTGCGACTGTTTTTGAGAGTTTTCCTTCACTATCAGCCCGACCCTGGGCTAGGCTTGTCTGATGTGTACCTGTTCAACCTGCCACAAGTAGAGGAGTGTCAGCATCTGTGGTGCAACATTCTTTCCCTATTAACTGAGGGATATTAATTTAACCCTTAAACGGTCCAAACGTATATATACGTTCACTCGCGTAGCGCCCCAAATTTTTTGAGGAAAAAAAAAAAATCTTTTCTTTTAAAAGGAAAAAAGAGCATATGGTACCCAGGCATCCCCAATTATTTTAATATGGCACACAGTGAGTGCGCACACCCATTCTCTCATGTCTAGGTGACTCAGGCTTATTTTGATAAGCCTGAGTCAATGTTGAATGAATGACAAAGAAAATGTTGGCAATGTTGAATGAATGACAAAGAAAACGTATATATACGTTTGGGGCGCTACGCGCATGAACGTATGTATACGTTTGGACCATTTAATTATTAAGGGTTAAGAATGATCAATAAGTGCATGAGGTTTGCTTGTTCTCATACCTTTGATGAATTCTGACACACCTTTGACGAGTTTCGAGTGTCTCACTACTCTTAGAGCCCGGCCATGGGCCAGGCTCGTTCTTAAACTTCC